TCCTGTGTGCTGATGAAAGAATTGCCTGGCTCCTGGGCCTCACCTCGATGAGGACATGCAAGCTCCTGGCACATGGTTTTCGCCTGGGACGTTGTCCCTGACCGCGCCACTGTCAGTTCTCAGCCATCCCCCCTGGGGAGTGATTTTTCGCTTTCTGTCTGTCTGTCTCTGTCTTTCTGGCGACTACACACGCCCTATAGCAAAAAACTCTCAAAAAAAAAAAAAAAGTTAAGCTTGGAAAAATCTAGAATGTATCAGCAGTGTGGAAGAGAGGGACAGCAACAAAAGCCAGAGATCTGAACAGCATGTTGTATCAGGGCTCTGCACACTGCCTGCTATAGGTAGCATGGAGGTCAAGGCGCTAGATCCCATATGGCTGACTCTGTGGTTCGAGTCCCAGATCTGGTGACCTAAAAACATGCTGGGCATGTATGCGTGCATGACCCAAATTCTGGAGGAGAACAGAAGAGAAGGGATCGCGGTGTGGTCATCCCTACTTGAGCTATTTCCTCATTTCCCTCTCTCTTTCTCTGTTCAGTGCATGTGACCTATGGCAAAAAAAAAAAACACAAAAAACACAAAACAAAACAAAACAAAACAAAACAAAACTACAGAAGAAAAAAAGAAAGAAAGGTTCCCTGTGGAGTAGGCTGGCAGTAGAGACTGGGGTATATGCCATGCCCTGAGAACTTTGGGCAGGTAACAAGCAGCCACAGAGGCGAAGGCATTGGATGGGTGTCAGGTGCTCATTCCTGGCCTGGAGCACAGTGGGCCTGGGAGATGTCTTGACGTCAGTACACGCTGACTATCAACTTCACTGCCAATGTCATTTCTTTCTAGAAACAGGAAAATATCCACGGCCCATTAGGAAACATACCCAAGTAAGTGACTGAAGTCATGTGAGTCAAATTTCACAGGGAGTCTCTGAGGGACCTGGCAAGAGCAGCCTATGGTGTTGGGGACAATGAAGAATTGCTCCCAGAAGGAAGGGTCCTTCCAGGTGTAGGGTCTCATGAAAAGACTAAAAATAGCTAACTTCACGAGGAGACATGGGCTCTAGACTCTGAATTCTAAAATCTGTAATGGTTTTGATTATTAACTGAACTCAGTACGAACATTTCTCAAACATAGTAACATCTTTAGTTGGAACTTTCCTAAACACAGACATATGTTTCTATAAAATAGAAGGCACAAATAATCCAGAAAGAAAAAAATCCCAAATGACCATGTCAACAAATCTCTGTAAATATCAGTTTTAAGCTTTAAAGGCCCGCTGAGCTGAGACCATTTAAATTTGACAAAGTCTGAGCGCCCCCTGATGGTTAGTAAGGAGTCCTACAGCAGATGCCAGTTTCAGTTGCCTGGGGTCAACTTGTTAACTTCATCCCTTCAAATAATCAAGCAGGTTCTTCTGCGCTCTGTGCAGGAAAAACAAAGTATGTGGGCTTATGATAAGAAATGTGGGATATTTAGGAAGCTACTAATTCAGTAGAATTTAAGAACACAGATTTGCTAAGCTGTAGAGGGAGATGAGTGCTTTTATATGAGAACCTAACAGACTTCCAGAAAAAATTCGTTTTTAATTTCACCGAACCACTGGATCTGTTTATTATCCTGGGGGAAATGGCACAGTTAATCAGGCAAGAGATGATGCCTTGACCCCATGGGAACATCAGCTGCAAGCTGGCGCCCTCCGCTGGCCAGTCCCATGCCTGCAAGGCTGGCTGGAATGCCACCCACAGTGGCCCTGCCAGGGTGAGGTGGCTGGGTGACTTCTGCTACCTTTCCCCTGGGCAATTATGTTGCAAGTACACATTCTTTTCTTTCTGTAAAATGTTACCTCGATCCAACCAGTAGGCTGCAGTTACAAGGCAGGAACTAGTAAGCTGCAGTTACAAGGCAGGCTGTTAAAACATGCTCTCCATTGAATAAATGGATGGGGAGAGTGAAAACCGCTTCCTGGGGAAGGTAAAGAAGACAATGTTTGCCGAGGAGAGGAAGCTCTGGCATGCACCCCCGAACAAAAGGGAACAAGTGGTCTTTACTTGGAGAACGGGTTCCTATTAGGACTCACTCCTTCGTACATTATGCCTTTCATCCCCACTCAACCACAAAATGATTTTGCTGAAGCAAATACAATGGTAGAAAAAGATTTACACTGAAAGAATCTTTAATAATAAACTGTTGCCGATCTGCCTACTTGCCCGTGATTTATAATACAATAAACATCGGATTCTATTACGGCTCACGCACTAAAGCCGCTGCTCTGAAAAACGGAATATGAAAGCCCCCGGACCCCACCACCAACACAATGAAATGAGCATGTATAAATGTGCTAAGAGTATCTCTTTGCATCTTTTATAGCTTGTGTGTATTAATCTGTAACGCTTATTAAGAAAGTCATTGCTATGCAAAGCAGCACCCAATCCCTTTCTCTGGCTTTTCAACAGAGTGCACTGTTTAGCCAATAGGACGGACCCTCTGGCCCTCATTCTGCATTCATCACGGCAGCGTTTGCACAATGTATCTCTCAAAGGCGGCTGAAAAGAAGGCCTTAATACTCATGTAAACAACTGCAAACCAATTACTTAATGAATCAGGCCCGCACATAATGAGGTGCAGACAAAGAGCTATAAATGCATTTTTGCGCCCAAGCCGCTGCTTTAAAGTAAAATCCCTCAGCTGTAGTTTGGGCTTAACTAGCACATCATAATTATTGTCTCTAGGACATCAGAGGCAGCCATTTTTTTTTTTTTTTAGGTCCAGCAGGGGGTTTTTTTTTTTTTTTTTTTTTTTTAGAATTAGCAGTCTTCGTGACTTTGTCACCAATAAACTCTAAGACTGTCATATCATATCATATCATATATCATATCATATCATACCCTAGCTGCTGCAACTATCTTGAGATCTCTACACTCTCAAGATGTGCAGTGGAGGCGTCTGGATTCTAACAACTCTGGCCCAACCTGCCTGATGGCAGCACTGTGTGGTCACCCTGGCACCACCTGCACAGGGCATGGCTCTTGTCAGGTGCTCAGGGTCTTTTTTTTTTTTTTTTTTTTTTTTGAGGTTGCTCATCAGCTCACTGACAAAATAGAGCAAAGAAGAATTTTTAAAAGTGCTACAGCAGCGCTGCACTGTTATGTTTATTCTCAAGTACTGGGTTTCGAGACCACTTGTAAAAGCAATAAAGCACAAGGAGTGACTGCAGTAAGTGGGATCCTTAAATGTAAGCCTCTAAGAAATTTCAGTGAATCCAGGCATAAACAGCAAACCAGAGCTCTCCAAAGCCCAGGATGGCGTATTAGCCACACCACACCCAGCGCAAGCACCAAACCGTGACACACAGCAAACAGCCAAACCCACACCCTCGGAGCCCAGACCCTTCTCATGGCTGGATTGTTATCAAGTGTCTAGAACCAAGGGTTTCTTGAAGACCTCTGTGTGTGTGCATGTGTGTGTGCCCATGTGTGGGTGTGTGGCTGTTTTGAAGGGGGTGGTGAGATTACTTCTAACTTATGAGGAAATTAATTTCTTATTGAAACAAGAGAAATGACAAAGGGCTCTCTGCCTCCGTCTGAAGGGGGAAAAAATTTGATTTTAATTCAGTGAAACAGAGACAAGATGTCAAACTATCAGGCTAAGAAAATGGTCCTCAAAATCCAATTGCTTTCTGTCTGTATTTTAAAATTGCCCAAAAAACACATATAAAGAAAAGTTTAAAATTTGGGAATTTTAATGCCTGAAAAATATTATGGAAATGGACATTCTTTTAAAAATAAACAATCTTTTAAAACTAAAGCACTGTATTATTTAGCCAAATGATGATTAAACCCTGAACAGTACGTGCAGAATCTATGCCTTTTAAGATTTCTTTCAGAAGACCTAGAACTTGAATTTATAGTATAATCATGAAAACGTAATACTTTAACACTCTTCCTGTCTCACTTACCTCCCACTTCCTTCAAAAACAGGGATGGAAACAGGCATTAAAGGTAATAGTTTCCAGAAATTAAAGGTGTCTCTCTCCTAAAAATTGAACTTGTCAAGTTTTTAAAAGAAAATCAGTCTCATTTGAACCTATTCTGGGTTCTAACATTTACAAAAGAGGAATAAAAATAGGATTTTTTTTTCCATCTTAAAAAATGTCACATTTCTGGATGGAAACATTTCACCTTATAGGACGTCACATGTAACATTAGAGACATAAAGTTCTGGTAGTAAAATGTCATGGGGGCAGGCAGCCCCTGGCGAGGTAATGACACCTTTTTAATGAGCAATGCTATTATCAAAGGAGACTTCCTGTGCTGTTTTACAGCTCTTTAACTCGAAGCTAAGGGGTAGGCAGTTCATCAGACCATCGCTTACGTGGCCATCTATAAATTCTTCCTAAGTGCCTTGAAGCCACTGCACGATTAGTGTTTTATGCTGATGACAAATTCAACCCATAACCCACTCAACATGGCGCAGAAAGTTACAAGACGGGCTGCAGCCTGACAAACGGGAAAAGCTAAATCGTGTCCTTTACAAAAAATAAGCAGGAAAGTAAAGTGTCATCTAGCCGCAATACTCGGTAAAAAGAGAAATAACGAACAGCCAGCCATTGCCAGCTTATATGTGGGCTATTTCAGAAAGCGCCACGCCACTTTCTTTCTTTGAAGGCCTGACGTTTTCTCTCTGCCCTTTTCCTGACAGCCCCCATTGTGCGGCCTCTAAGCAGCCCTACTGCGAGCAGCTGTAGACGCTAATTTGTGGTTCACTGAGGTGTCAATTGAGTCTTAAACCAAGGAAACAACAGCTGCAAAACAATACTTGGCTCTGGTGCAAATATTTTCAAAGGTATACTTAAGTTTCAACTGTTATTTTTAGATAAACAAAAACCCAAACCCTAACGCTCCATCCAGTCACTCAGAATACTGCGCAGCCCAGAGTTTTAATTCGCTGCGTGGTGACATTCCTCATCTTGTTGCTGCTATTCAGAAAGGCCTGCACGACTTTACCTTGACAAAGGACTTCCTTCGCCGCCGGATAGAAAACTAGCTCCTGAAGCGACTTTGTGAGCCGTCTTTGTCTTGACCGTGCTGCCGCCAACATCCAGACCTGCGATAAGCACAAGCAGGGAGAGTGAGTGGAGCAGCCGCAGCCAGCCGCGGGGGAGACCATGGAGCTGCCGGTAACTTAGGAAAACCAGGCTCCAGCACGGGAGGATGCTATTCAAGCCACAGAAGACCTGGAACTTCTGAGAAAGGGAACGAAATGCGGGAGACTACTGAAGGAAGTGGGGGAGTTCCCTGTAATACTTAAAAGAAGCATCAAAGAGAAAAAAAATCACCCCGCTAGCTCTATTTTAAGTGTCCAGGATGTGCGTGTAAGCACACAGGCCTCTACTTCGGCACAAAGCACTGGATATTCACACAGTTATGACACAGGGCAGTGATGGAGCACGCAGATAATGGAGGCTGAAGGCCGAGTCTTAGAACTCACTGACACCCCCGAGGACAGTACCCAGGATACCCACCCCGGCCCCTCCTGCCAAATCCTCTATTGTCCACCCCTGGATGGTTTCTGAGGAGAACAAATCACCATCGGAAACCAAGGCCACTCTGACCAGCCTGAAAACGTGGAGGAGGAGGCACACTCCGTCCCTTACTGGAGCTGAGGGAAGTGGCCTGTCCCCACAGTGCTCCCAGCTGGCAGGGGAATCCGACTTCTTCCGGGCCCCCTCAGTCTTGGCTATGTCTGCTGCAGGTCTGGCTCTTGGTCGGCAGTCAGCCACGATCACAGCGGGGCACGTACCGGCACCTCTGCAGGGGCACTGACTGAGTGCCTCTAACCCCTGTGGCACAGGGCTTCTCTTAACACCGTGTCCACACTCAGACCAGGAGGGTCTCCGTGTGCTCAGACCAGGAGGGTCTCCGTGTGCTCAGACCAGGAGGGTCTCTGTGGGCTCAGACCAGGAGGGTCTCTATGTGCTATAAGGTCTTTTTTGGACACGAAGACCAATGCTCCAGCCAGAAGTGGCTTTCCTTGGCAACAGGTCCAAAGGGAGAGACCTAAAACACTGACTGGGAAATAACTAACTATGCTCTGCTTCTTCCTTAGTCACACTTGGGGGTGGGCTCCTGAGCTCAGAGAGCAAACCCTCTCTCCCTGTAACAATGCTGGCAAGTTTCCCACTGCCCTTCCGGCCTGCTTTCTGCTTCTCCTTGGAACTCAAAGTCCCCAGGATCGGACTAAGAGGAGGAGGGTGATGGAAGGACAGTGACAGCCAATACTATCAGAAGTACTTCCATGATTCTGCACTGGAAAATCTGGGTTACTTCAAATGACAGAGTACAATTTTAAGTGTGGAGTGAAGAAGTTTAGGGTAGGGGTACTTGATTATATAGTCCACAAAGTATCATTTCACTTCGGAGTAAATTAATAGAAAAACATTAATTATAAATACATTAAAAATACCGTAGTTTTTGATAAACACCCAAAGGACTATAACTTACATCAGATTTACTCATCCTTTGCACCTATCTGGGTGACTACCCAAAATACACTTAGCAAAACTGGAGTTGCTTTAGAGCCGTGTGTGTCTGCTCACCAGCTGCACTACTCCAAGTAAGGCATTACTGTCCTGAGGCCTCATCTGTGAGATGATGGGGCTAGATAAAGACCTTCCAAGATCCCTCTGGACTCTAATTCTGTGACTCAAATGTGAAGATGATGAAAGGCAAACACTTAAAAGTTCACGAGTAGGGAACAACAGATGTTACATGGCTGGACTCCCACGTAGCGGACTGTGGTTCTAGTCCCAGACCTGGCAACTTAAAATGCTGGGCGTATGTGCGTACGTGCCCAAGATTCCAAGAGGAGAATGGAAGGGACTGGGCCATGGCCATCCCCCTTGAAAGGTGATTTCTTGCTTTCCATCTCTCTCTCTCTGTCTCTGTCTCCCTGGCGTGTGCACATGCCCAAGAGCAAAACTCTCTTAAAAAAAAAAAAAAAAAAAAAGGCTCATGAGTGCAAGGTCTTTCCAAAGCAATGCCAGCCTCCATCAGGACAGAGGCCCGCCCTGCTTTATACCTCAAGAAACCACAGTGTCTTACTGGGCGCGGGGTTTGAACAGCAACCACCAAACAAGGGCTGGCCCACCCCTGGGGCTTCCCGCTAGCAGGCACGGTGCTGGGCATTTGCTCACTGAATTCTCAAAACAGCCAAAATAACTGAATTTGACAGCAGTGGACTCTACCACTAGTATTACCCAGGAAATAGCTCTTCAAAGGCGAACAGCTAGTCTGATACAGCATAGATACGGCCCTGAAAACACGTGTCTCAAGGAGACATCTTTGAGAAAACTGGGACATCTGAATATTGATCATGTATTCTATGATATTAAGAAGTCACTGTTCAGTTTGATAGGTGAAAGTATGACACAATAATGACATAAGAAAAGTCATTAATATATATTTCCCTCTGTAATTCATTTACTTTCACAGAGGTGTTGACTTACTAAAAAAAAAGAAAAAAGAAAAAGGTGTAATTGGGGCCAGCAGATGACATGGAGATAAAGGCTGACTTTGGGTTTTGAGTCCCAGACCCAGCAGCTTGAAAATCACACTAGGCATGTGTGCACGTGTGCCCAAAATCCCGAGGGGAGAATGGAGAAGGGACTGTGGTAGAACCATATCCCTAGGGGATTATTTCTCTCTCACTCTCTCTCCCTGTTTCTGTCTCTCTCTTGTGAATGCATATGTCCTATAGCATAAAACAAACAAACAAAACAAAACAAAACAAACAAACAAAAAAAAACAGGGACCAGCAGTTAGCGTAATGGCAATGTCACTGGACTTCCGTGTAGTCGATCGCAGTTCGAGTCCTGGACTCAGCGGCTTAAACTCACGCCGGGCGCGTGTGCGTGCGTACCCAAGATCCTGAGAGGAGAATGGAGGTGAAGGGATTGCAGCGTGGCCATCCTCCTGGGGGGGTGATTTCTCACTTTCTGTCTCTCTGTCTCTCTCTCTCTTTCTGGCGTGTGCACATGCCCTATAGCAAAAACCCTTCCCCCCCCCCCAAAAAAATAAAACTAATAAAAAGGTATGATAAAAGCAAACTACTGAAAATAATAAATACAGAATACTATTTTTTTAAAAAAGAAAATAACAATTAAAACAAAAGTCTATACTGAAGATATTGCATTTAAGCCTGAATTTAGCTTTCTTGGGACTGGCGGTCTTTTAATGAAAAGAACTCCAAGCCCTCCAACATCCTAGAGCGAGGGGGGGATGGGTACAGCACTCCCCGTGTGACGATTATGCAATGTGCAGTGAGGGGAAGAGAAGGCATTTGGGCATCTCCTGGGTCCTGAGTGACCAGTTATTATCATGGCGTACCAGGCCGGCTCCAAGGGCCTGAGTGCGGGCTGGGCGGGAGCCGGCACGTCTGCAGAGGGAGGGCCCTTCCGGGCCCTTCGCCAAGGATGGACGAGGACTTGCTCATTTTGACCTGGTGACAGCTCCTCAGAAACAATCACCACATGTCCTTGGGGAATGACCTCTCTTCCCTGAACACCACGCCAGCTGCCACCCTGGGCCCCCGGACACTGGCTTCGAGTGCTGAATTAGCCCTCACTTACCTGCCAACTGCGACCCAGCAGCATCTGCCTTTTCAAATCTGCCCTCACTTTGATTTGTATTCTCCTGGAGCGCAGACTTCTTCAACTGGTAGGCTTTCGTTTCTACAGATTAAAACAAAACAAAAAACCCCACAGAAATAACTAAGTTTTCTACTGCCCAGAGAGAAGTTTCTTAAATTCATTCTTCAATGCTAATACTTAGAAGAGTTATGTATTTATTTTTTGTTTATTTATTCCATGAGTAAGAGAGACAGCCAGGGAGAGACACACACACAGACAGCACCCTGCAGGGTCTTGATGCCACAATCCACCCGCTGCCCCAGCAAGCTCTGGATCATGGCACCCAGTCCAGCTACCTGCACATGCAGGGAGCCCTCTGGACGTGAACCTGGAGCCCTTCCATGTGGGTCACTGAGCAGAGGGTCATGTTTTACTGCTGTATCCCTGTCCAGCCTTAACACTTCTCAAATGCAAGCAAAGTTTTTTGTTGTTGTTGTTTGTTTTGACTGTCAGTTTTTAGAAACAAAAAACAATACAGCTGAATTCACATTTCAATACTCAAAGACTAGTTTATGCGTTTATTTGAGCTGCCCACATTCCAGACACGGTGTAGACAGGTGGATAGGTTCTACATCATAGCAACATAGGTTCTCTTCTCTCCAGGCCTTGCAGAAGCAGCTGCAGGAATGAACCAGGAGGCAGCACTGACCCCAGGCAGTCAGACACTTGGGAGGGATCCTGTCCTGGCTCTCAGGCTCTGGGAGAGGGCTGGGTGAATGCTGAGAGGGTCAAGATGGGAAGTGGCAGCAGGATGTGTTGAGTCCCACAGCTGAGGAAACCCAACTGAGGTTAGCCCCGGGGAAGAAGAGACTGTGCGTCTGCAGGGGCAAGGCCAGGTGTCTGGGGACCAGCAGCAGCCTGGACTTGCCTCCTGTTCACAGGATGACTTAGCTGCGAGGGGCTTCTAACAGCATCTGCTCTAGGTGAATTGGGAAGGACTGCGGGGAAAAGCAGCCCACAAGAATTAAAGGCCCAAGTGACTGAGCCGTCCCTATTACTTTAGGTCTTGAGGTCAGCTGGATGAAATGGAGGAAGAAGAATGAGACTTTCGGTATAGATAAAACAGTGTCTACATCCACCTCTTCAGTGTGGCCACAAAAGGATCCTCTCTGTCAACACTGGGACTGGCACTTCCTGCATTTGCTGGGTCCATGTAAAAACTCTACCGTGAGCCCCTTACACAGGCTGAAAACTACCATCACACTGAAGAGCAGAACTGTAATTTAGCTTGCCCTCCTGAGGACTGGCTGAGACAAAAACGAGTACGGGTTCAGCATCTCTAATCTGAAATGCTCTGAAATCCAAAACTTTTTTGAGTGCTGACATGGTACCACAAGTGGAAAATTCCACACCAGACCTCACATGACAGGTGCAGTCAAAACACTGCAACACAGGGCCGGCCACTGAGTGTCGGTTAGGGTGGCTCGATCCACGTGACTGGGGGTGCGGTTTGAATCCCAGACCTGGTGGGTTGAGAAAACATGCTGGGTACATGTGCATGTATCCCAAAAGGAAGAAGAAACAAAGTAGAAGGGATTGTGAGCCCTCCAGGGGTGCTTTCTTGCTGCCCCCCACTTCCTGTTCCTGTTTGTGCGTGTGCCCTCTGGCAAAATCAAACAAAACACTGCAATCCAAAAATAAAATATAAAATGACCTCTGGGCTATGTGTATAAGTTGTGTATGTTACATAATAAAATAAATTTCACATTTATGCTGAGGTTCTATCTGCAAGATATCTCATTTTCTCTATGCAAATATTCCAAAATTTGAAAATATTCAGAATTCAAAATGCTGTCAATCCAAAGAATTCCAAATAGGGAATACTCAATGTGTATTTAAAATGAGCATCATATTTTAAAATAGAAAGTGCTATATAATTAAAATATGTTCACATCAGGGACTTGTAACTCTGACGATAAATCCTAAGGTAGCAGCAACCCTTCTTAACACTGTTGGACTGTGATACCACTTTTGGTGCTAGAACCAATATTCTGAAAAATCTAATAGAAAAATAAAATACCACCAGATGGAGCACATATAGAAGGAAGAGAACTGCTCCGTGTACCGTCTGTGCGTGTGCATGTGTGCATACGCAGAGGGAGCACTGGCCGAGGGTGGAAGTGCTTCCAGGTGGAGTTAATCTTTCTGAGCTAGGTTGCCTCCAGCGCTCTCCAGTCAGTCCTGATGTCCATGTTACTTCAGATGTGCTGCAAGGTCATTTTGGGAGGAGGGGGGGAAACATTCATAACATCAGAAGCAGAATGTCTGAGTTTTAGAGGTAAAGTTCACTGTAAAGAAGGTAAAATGCCCTGTTTTGTTCTCATTTTATAAAATTCAACTAAAACATTTTCAGCATTTCGGATATAAGTCTGCTTCTTTTTTCTTCCCTTCCTTTCTTCCCTCCTTTTCTCCCTCCCCCTCTCTCTCTCTCTTTCTTTTTTTAATTGCCAGAGGGTGCATGAGTTTACCAAAGGGGGGCGGGGAGAGAGAGAGAGAGAGAGAGAGCCTGCCTGTGTGTACACGAGAGAGGGAGAGAAAGCACCTGCTAGTGGGGCGTGGTCATGCTGCAATCCCTCCTTCCCATCAGGATTTTGGGCACACATATACATGCATCTGCCAGGGCTGAGATTTGAACCACGATGGACCATGTGGAACCCAGCTCCCAATGTACAAGGTTTAAGTTGCAGGGCTGGCCAGCAAATCCAAATCTTTAAAAAATAAAATTTTTTTAAAAGCCTAGAACATTTATTAAAAATAATTAATTTATTTCATTTTTATTTATTACTATTATTTTTTAATTTGACCAAACAAAGAGAAAGAGAGAAAGTGAGAGTGAAAAAGCAAGTTGCCAGGTCTGGGACTCAAACCATGGTCAGCATGTGGGAGTCCAGTGTACCAACCACCATGCCACCTGCTGGTCCCAACAAGTACAAATCTTAATGACTATATACTATTTCTGTATCCAATCAAGCTTATTTGATCAAGGAAAAGATACAAAGATAGATATTTTAAAGGGAAAAAAAAAATAGGAGGAGCTTCAGGACAAAAATGGCACCTGGTCCCCAGAAGCTGGAGCTGAGGCAGCAGCCCCTCTGCCTGTCATGTTAAGGTGAGTCACTGGACCCCAGGGAAAGGCTTTCCTGTGCTCAGGAGCCAGGATGTGTGCTGCTTACTTTCAGAAGAGGATTTTTTGGTGAGAACTGTCAAACTAGTAGTCTTGAGTAGCCAGATTTAGGGGCATTAGGCATTCTGCCCAAATTTGAGAGGTCCCTGATATTACTAGTCTGAGTGCAGCGTGGGAGGGAATTACCAATGTGAAGTTGATTCACTGTTAGTAGCTAGGGGTCATTTTAATGCCCTGGAGAAGATGGACCCTTTCCATGTGGCACATGCTTTCCCTCTTCGTCTCCTTCTCCTCCTGCCTGAAGGATCTGGGCTCTGTGACGATGGCTTACTCCCTACCCCACTCAGCCAGGGCCCAGCCCCTTCCCAACCATGTCCCTCGCTGGTATTTCACCCTTCCTGTGTACCTCCTGCCACCAGAGTCACTGAAGTCTGCCTGGACAGCCTGTATCTGGGATGCAGCTGCCTGGACCCAAGTGAAAAGGGCTGAAAAGGGGGCCAGCAGATGGTGTGGTGGTTAAAGTGCTGGACTCCCACCTGGCAGACAGCAGTTTGAGGATCAGACCCAGAGGCTTGAAAGTCATGTTGGGTGCATGTGTGTGCGGGCCCAAAATCCCAAGAGGAAAAAGGAGAACAAGGGATTGCAGTGTGCCCATCCCCCCTTAGTGAGTGATTTCTCAGTTTCCTTCTCTCTGTGTCTCTCTGACAAAAACCTAAAAAAAAAAAAATTGTTTCAAATTTTTTTTTTTAAATTAAAATAAAAGGGGGGGCTGTAAAGGTCAAAGCACTGTTGGGCACACTGTCCAGCCCCAATCTGATCACTTGCCCTTTATGGACAACGTGAAGTTTAATAGGCAAAAAGAGTAAATGCATTATTCATTAACTTTCAGTAATACCCACCACCTGAGGAAGGCCAGAGATGCCAAACCAGCGGGGCTGGGGGTTTGGGGGTACACCCTGTGCTGCCAGCTGCCAGGAGGACAGCCGTAGCAAGGACCAGATGCATCAGGGCTGAGTCCTTCTCCCCATGGCACGGAGCACATCGTATTTCAGCCAGAGCTGCTGCACAGAGCAACATATGAAGGTCTGCGAGATGATCTCAAATCAAACCTGCGCAATGAGGACTCACTTTAAAACCTTAGAAGGGGAGCAAGGTTGGAGAAGCAAAGCAGGGTCTAAGGACACAGACAATGCAAACAGACGGGGCGGGGTGGGGCCTGAGCATGTAGATGCGTAGATGCCTTCTGGGGCCAGACAGGGACCGCAGCCAGCAGCCGGCCAGGTGGAAGCAGAGGAAGGGGAGTCTGGCCGCAGGATGGAGGTCAGACGCTCTATGCACAGGGGACGGCTGTCCTCAGCTACTGCCACTTGCTGCCAGGTAGGACAGTGGGTATAGTCTTGTTAGACTTTTGCTCTCCCTCCTTTCTGTCCTCCTTCCCCCCTCTCTCTCATGTCTTTCTAAAAAGCCACTGACTTACTTACTCCATGCTAGGAGTGGGGGAGACAGACCCTAGTGGGGTCTCCATGCCACAATCCACCCCAGCCCCAGTGTCCAGGATCATGAGCACCCAGTGTGTGTAGGGACTTCCCAGGACACACACCCAGACCCTTCCGTGGGTCCAGTTGTACCCACTGTGCCAATGCCTGGCTTCTCTTTTCTCTTTTAAGATGAAACACTGCAAAGGCCAAACAGAACTTCACTGCAAACTCCAACCTAGATGAGGAAACTTTCTGTGTTCACTGAGAGTGGGAAGAACCTTCCTGCAGATAGGGCTGAGTCCCTGGGAACGACTGTCAAGGGAGCCGGAAACAGCTGCAGGATTCAGAAGTAGCTGTCTGTATCCAGTGGACTGGGTTCCAGACTCTTTGAAGACAGAATAATTCAGGCATCTAGCTCAGAAGATCTGGCCAGAATGCCA